CTCTCTCTCTCTCTCTCCTCACTTCATTTTCAGGCCCATCATCCCTTTTTTCCCAGTTTTTCTTTGTTGTTGCTTTTAATAGCATCACCATAGAAGTGAAGAGGGGTTGCTAGGTAACTGGCTGGCGTCTGGAAGGGTGTTTGATTGGCGGTCACACTGACAGACACAACACAGTGTGAGGATCTGTGTGTGTGTGTGTGTGTGTGTATCATCTGTATACACTGCATGTGCATCCGTCTTTACATTACAAAGGTCGTCACTTTAAAATGTGCGTTTGAAGATTTATTTTCTGCTCTCTCTAAGATCTCAAATTTAATCCTAAACATCTTTGTTCGCTGCATTGAATGCATGAGCGCACCTTTATCTGCCTTTCATGGTAACTGCAGAGTCAGAGAGCGACTTCAGGAATTCATTACAAGGAGAAAAACAGCACACTTGGAGATGATATGACATCATAGGCAACGGTGGTGACACCTAGAGGATTTTGTCTGTCACTGCAGTCGCCCTTTGTCTGCTGGAACAAGAAAACGGTGCGAAACAACCATCAGGACAACCACATTTACAGAGTTATTGTGCAACCCTGAGGTAATTCACTGGAGTGTGTTACTTTTGTGCTATTTTATGCCTCTAGTCTGCTACATTTCAAAGGGAAATATTGCACTTTTTACTCACTACAACAATGGTAGTTAGTGCTTACTTTTCAGATTAAGATTTAACATTTAAAACATCCAATAAGATAATGAAATAAAACACATTGTTAAAGATTAAAATAGTTGTTTCCAACATTTTTGGACACATTTGTTAGCAGAGAGTAGTTTCAGTCAAATACATGTTCAAAGCAAAAGAATAAATTATTTTTAATCATTAAATAAAACAGAAATCCAGGGATGCTGGAAGTCAGTTAAAGTCAAATCTCTCCGTATAATGACGTCATATTTAATGCTAAATGCATGACATTCATAGTTTTTGCATTAATTTGAATGGCCAGGATCATTTATACCCTATTTAATTCTTATCAACAACATTTTACACAAATTGTTTCTACTTTTTAGCCGGTACAACTAATGACAAACGAGGCAAAACCTCTTTCCTGTATTAAATACCGTGTGTGTTCACATGTAAATCCCAGTAGAAGAGCAGAAAGTCATAAGTCCCCTCCAGCTTTCCTCCCATTAATCATCTCACAACCCCTCAGATTTATCTTGTGACCCTCTGTAGGGGCCCCAACCCCATGCTCAGGTATCAGTGGACTACCTGAAGTAGTTAAAAGTAGCTCAACCAGCTTCTTTACAGTGAAATACTAAAACATTCATGCAGGATCATCTATTAATGTCATATAGTTAATATATATATAAAATATAAAAGTCACAGGGGGACATTTCTGAAACTTTTACTGTATCTTTCTTATTGGTAGAACACTAACAGATCTGACTACTTCCTCCATCACTTCACATATGAGGATATAATGGATGGAATAAATAAATACATGTAGCACTGACACTGAAGCATCTTTCTTTGTTTTTTATTCGTCTCTCATTCGTCACATTTCACACTTATTCCTCACTGAACCCAGAAATGTCACAGGTTGAGACTAGACACAACATGGACGTTTCAGTAAGCAGTTTCTTAGGTTTTCCTTGGTTTTTCCTGTTATATTAACAAATATATACAGATATCCCAGGAAGAGCATCATAATAATAATTAATCCTTTCCAATAATAACAATAAATTTAATAAATACTCAGTGTTCTTAACCACGAGGAGAATGAGTTTGGGCTCACTCTTTTACCGATGGGATTGTCATCATCCCATACAAATAACAACACACACACACACACACACCCATATTCACACTCACACACTCATTTAGAGAAATTTGCACTGTCAAGTAAATAACCACCTGCAGAGGAAATGTCCATGGTGCGAAAACAACTCCGCAGATAAAAGTTGTCAGCCGTGAGTCCAAAGAGAGACCGATGTTGAATACATCAGAGGAGAACATGAACCTTCCTTTCGTTTGTGTCCATTTCAGTGGGGTGAATGGGATCCATACAGAGTGCTACTGACCGCTAGTGAGGAATGTTTATATCAGAAACAAAGAAAACATGTGAAAGACAAACAGATGAGAAAGTGTGTAGCAACCAGTGGTCTTATTTTGAAGAACTGCTGCACCATTCAAACGTAAAATAACATGCACTGAAAAAGCACCAGCACGCAAAAAAAAAAAAAAAGTTGTTCTTCCACACATGTACAGTAATATATATACACATTCACACAAAGAGAAACACACCTGGTCTGCCAAACCCATAGAAAAACATTGCGGTTGCGGAAGGGATGCACTGAGAAAATAAACTCTTTTTTTTTTTGTACAAGGCTGAGGATATCACCAGTCCACAAGTGCAGTCAGAGAGAAAAAAAAAGGCTTTTTTCCTGTCTCAGTCTTGCAGGGAAGAGGTGATGAAGACCCCCCAGTGCAGAGAGATGACACGTGAGGATGAAGGCATAGCTGACGCAGGAGGGGTTTATGGGAGATATTTGTGCACCGGCAGAACAAACAGTGTGCAAAACAAGAACAAAGACACAGTCCAGCTCCTTCTTTTTTGTCAGGGAAACACTCCTGAAGCGATGTATGTTTAGGTGAAATGTGATTTTTTTTTTGTGGTCTTTGTGGAGTGAGAGATGCAAGCAGAAAGTGAACAGCTACACAGACACGCTAAAGCACAAGCAGATGGGTCAAAATGAACAGTTAGCAAAGTCAAAAAAAGTGGCTTTTTAAGTACTTGAATGGCTTTTGATAGTTGTGAGTCATAACCTGGTCATGGGGCGCTAAGAAGTGGGTAGAGATGGCTTCCTGGGAGGGATAAGTATTGGGTAAGGTAGGTGGGTGAGCACACTACAAGGCTTTTTAAAAAGGCCTCTAGGACCCCCAAGTGTCGTGCAGGTTAGAGAGCACTATTAGGGAAAGGCTTGCTCTAAAGGTTTCACACCTTATTAGGACACTAAAAGGACACATGAGAGGAACAGCTTCCAGGAAGTGCCTAAAACATGACGAGATGTTTTTGCAAACTTTCAGTGAGTGCACTTTGCTCGGCTCAGACATCAGTAGACGTTCCTTATGCAGCACAAGCTCTTATGTTCTGGGAACGGGTTCGAAAAAAGCAGGAAATGTCCACTTGCTGTTTTTCATTATGAGTATTGTTGTCCGCAGAGCGTGGCCGGTTTCCGCTGTCCACACAGAGGAACGGTGGGGTCCAAACTCTGACCCTCCACGTCCATGTCCATCAGGTTGCGCTGTGCTGGCGCGGCACTGGCGCTGGCGCTGCTGTCCCCTGAACCAAGGGGGCTGTCGCAGCTGCTGCCCGGCGACGAGCTGAGAGTCCGGGAGAGAGAGCCCAGCTTCCAGGGGTCGGCTCTCATCCTGGCCGGGGTGGGCCGCGGACGGGGGGCAAACTCCAGCGTTTTAGGTCTCTCCAGGGGGCTGATGAGGCAGAGAGGATCCGGGTCGGGGATCGGTGGAGCGGGGGCTTTACGCCGAAGGGGGACTGGGAAGATGGCAGTGGGGTCAGGGAGGCGAGGGATGTCCAGGGTGTCCTGGGTACCTGAGTAAAGAAAGAATAAATCATCAATCAATCTCAGTGCGCCATCTTGAATTCTCAATACTTAAAATGCATCTGGAGGAGAGAGGAGCTATGATGATGAGTTTGTGTACTGAAGTCTTTTCTATGTTTTTGGCACCTGTGACGTATAAAAGGTGTGACACACAGCTGGAATATAGAAACCATGCAGAAACACTCTACAAATGTATTGATAAGTTGTACTAGTTATTTAAGATGATCAAAACTTTCTGTTCCTCACTGTTTGTGTAGCGCTTTCTGAAGCAAGGACATCTCATTTTGTTAAATGCCTGATGCCTTAACTCCTCTCTCGGGTGGGAGGGACTAAGATGCGAGGAGAGGAGGCGAGGATGTACAAACTGGGAAGTGAGAAAGGCCTGAAGACTCTTACCTTTTTTGGTAGTTTTGTGTGGTGCTCCCGGTGGAGGAGGCATGGGCATGCTTCCATCTGACGGCGTCCTGTGGTGTCCCAGAGTTTGAGCTCTCGGTCGTATCGCCCCATCTGAAGGGGTCCGTCTGTGTCCTCTGTTCAGGGCCATGGCTGCAGACACGTGAGTGGGCGTGAGTGACTGGTTGGGCTCCTTCTTGAAGCTCTCCGCCCGCAGGTCCAGGAGTGGGTTGAGGGCAGGAGCCGGTAGCGCCACGGGTGTTTTAACCCCCGGGGTCAGGGGGTAATCGTCGGGATCGGAGGGAAGAAGGGACTTGGTGGAGTTGCAGTCAGACAGGGAGGACAAAGAGAGGAGTGTAACAGAGGGAGAAGGGTCCATGCAGGGAAGTGTTGAGTCGTGATGTCTGGAGAGGGAGAGCGAGAGGTTTCGGCTGGGCGGAGAGGTGCTGCGACGGAAACGTCCAGTCCGCTGGAAGAGACCCTCCTTCTTCTTACGCTGCTCCTCTCTGAGGTCGTGCTCATCCTGAAGCACCTGACAACAACACCAGGACACATCAACAAGCTGAGCAGTAGTCTTATAAACATAAAATCAACAACAGCCGGGGTAATTTCACCTGCTTCCTTTAAAGATGTGTTACTCTTTATAATCTCTTCCTCTCCCTATCAAAGCCACTACAGCAATAAGATCACACCCAAATCATTTCATTGATCCTCTCTCTGTACGCTCGGCATCTACTTAGGTAAGAGCCTCGTTTGCTTCAACAACAGACGGAAAATCCTCAAATCACAGAATCAACAAGGTGCTGGAAGCCGTCCATGCAGACCTCGGACCGCGCTGACTCGACAGCATCGCACATTTCCTGCTGATACTTTGGCAGCTCGCTCATCCTGTTTCATCTCATCCCAAAGGCGATCTATTAGTCTGAGGTCTGGAGACTGCGCAGGTGATTTAGAGTCACTGTACGTTTCTGGTGCAATCATGAGACCACGCGTGCTCTGTGACACGGTGGCTGCTGGGAGAAGGAATGTATGAATGAACAGATATTTACACCACAATTTAAAGCTTTATCATCCTGTAGGGGATATTTTGTTTGCAAGCAAGGCTTGTAAAATGAAAAGACCGAATAAAAACAAATTGATAAAACCTCACATACCGACCAGACCCAGAGCAATAAGAGTTGAGTGTAAATAACAACAGCTCCCAGTTAGATATGGTCAGTACCGGGAGGAACATTTTAATTATGTAACATTTATAACCTAAAACATCAACTAAATTACTTAAATAAAGAAAAACATTATTGTATTAATTAGAACATGAAGATTATTTGCTGCTGTTTTGTATGTCAGTTATATTACATTTAATAATAGGGTTTGGTTTGTTTACGTTTGGGGATACTGGTTGTTTTGTTTGCTTATTTACTCTATATGTATTTTTATTATTATCAGCAGTAGTAGCGTTTGTGAGCAGTATATAGGTCCCATTTGAAAATGTATTTGATCACAGGATGTTTCTCTCTCTCCGTTCCTCCGTTCTGTGTTCTCACCTGTAGTTTTCCGAGCTGCAGCAGGTCTTGTCCGAGGCCGACAGACGCGAGCAGAGAGGCGCAACCCAACAGCAACATGTCACTCTTCTTCCTCTGGCTGCAGCGACGGAGCGAGTCCTGGTAGCTCGCCCCCGTCACCAGGCCTCCGGGCCCCTGACAGCCGCCGATAGCCGGCACCGCGTTGTGCCCCAGGCTTCCCCACAGGGACCCCGGGTCCTCCACAGCCCCGTTACTGCTGGTCTCTGAGGGCAGCAGGGACCCTGGTGACTCCTCAAACTCACAGCACTCCTCTGTTTGAGAGATAAGAAGTTAAACGAATAAATATAAGCTGATTCTTGTCGCTTAGTGATGAACGACTCACGATGAAAAAACAAGACTCACCCATTTCATTGAGGCTGGAGAAGCCAGCGGTCATGGGTGCATGTTTGGGGGACTTGCCCAGATTTGGTGCACTGGACGACCAAACTTTAGATCCCTCACCCAAAGACTTCAGTCTGAAAACAGACAGAAAGGAATAAAAATCAAGAAGGTTCACGTCATATGAGGGCAGCCGTCATACACAACGATTTCCAGAGATGATTGCTTTGTTTCTGGTTGGTCCACAGACTGTATGAGATATTGACTGAAAGGTTTTGTTTCTGTGTGTTATGAGCAAAAATCTGTCCACAACAATATGAGAAAATGTCATTTCATCTCGCCTGTGATAACTGTTATCTCAGTGGGCAGAAAACGAGCTTCGTGATCCAGTTTTCTGCAGTTTCATTAGGTACATTGTGTTTAACCTCCTTCCAGAAAAACACTGTCCTGTTGGTAGATTGATTACAATTTATTCATTGATTGATTACGATCTATTCACACCGAGATGTGACTTCTTGTATTGTGTTTCTTTTCTGACAGCTTTAGTGACTTTAAAGTTTAAAGATTTTTACATACAAAACATACAAAGAGATTATAAAATATGATGTTTTGTTATAAATTAAACAACAGTTTAAGTACAGCTGAAACCAGGTCGGTTAATCAATTAGTTTGACAGAAAATGATATTGAAAGACAGTTAATTCACTTCACAAACTTCACAAATATGAAGACTTTTAACAACTTTGTTTTTAAGTTTTGACTTAGTCAATGTATGGAGAAATTAATCAGCAGGTTAATCCATAATGAAAATAATCATTAGTTGCAGTCACCAATGATCTAATGATATAACATATAATAGTATAACAGTCAGAGGGGACACTTTTCTGCATCAAGTACTTTTAACTTTTAATACTTTCAGTACATTTTCCTGATATATATAAGATAATTACATACTTTTACTATTCTTAAGTTTTAAATGCATGGAATATTTTTACAGTGTGGTATTAATACTTTAACTTCAGTAAAGTAAAGTCTTAATACTTCTTCCACCACTGCAGATTTAACCTTTAACCTTGACTTTGTGTTGAAGAGTTATAAATGTTTGTCTTATTGACTCATCATGCACATACTTATCCTCCCCGCCGACCCTCTCTTTCTGGTGGGTGGAGCTCGGTCCCCACGTCCGTCCTTTCTTCTTGCTGGTCGACAGATCTTCCTTCTTACACACAGCACTGCGGCCCCACGTCTTACTGCCATCACTTGGTGTCACTGAGGGACAAACAGTATAAACATTAAGCACAATGCATCCCTACCTGACATTCACTTCCTCTTGCTTTCTGATTATTTTAGGTGTTTGCACTCACGTCTTATGGCCCTCAGTCGGGGTATGACGCCTGGGCTGGCAGGCGGGGTGGTGCTCTCGCTCCCCTGAGTCTTCCTCTTGTCCACACTGGGAGACGCCTGAACTGTGATCTTATGCTCAAAGCCTACAGGTGAGCAAGAAGATACATACAGTTTTACACTTTGGGTGCACACATAGCAATGTGCACACTATGAGCTTCAATACAAATTTAATTAAAAGCCACACAGAGGTGCCCTGGTGATTTCCTGTCAGCGTTTCTCTAATAAAGGCATATGATTCCCCAAAAACTGAATTAAAAAAAAACCTCTTCCTAAATATACCATGCAACAATTATAAAATGTACAATATATTAGAGAAATATTCCCACTAAACCTAGAATAATCAACATAACATACACTGCTACTATTATTCCTACATACAGTTCTGATCAGGCTCGGTGCTGGGATGACGTGACTAAAAATTGCGAGGGGACAATTTGTTTCAGAAAAAAAAAACATTGCATGCACAAGTTTCAGAAAAGCGAAATAAAAACAACATAAGACAAGAAAAGAATCAAAGACTAAGCCTACATTTATTAATTAGAATAAATATTTTCAAAGGTGTCTAGCAAACTAACAAATTTATTACAGTATGAAAAATGGATACTGGGGAGAGATGTGATTGTTTATTAATTAGAATTATTTGTTACAGTACAAGTATTGTGTTAAAATGGAGGATTTGGATGAATGTGTGGGATTATGAAGGCTACTTTTTACTCTAAAAGATTGTATTGTAGTTTGTGACTATTGCAAAATGCAGATTTATTTTTAAATAAATCCCTCTTGTTGACTGTCTCTTCACATCCCTCTCATTTCCCTTTTGTCTGTGGATTACGACAATAGGTGAGGAGGTGGAATCAGGGTCAAAACTTCTATTTACAACCATGAAAAGCAAACAGGTGAAGAAACTGAATTAAGTGATATATTCTGTCTGTCTGTCATCCACTGTTACAGTATTATGGACAGTGCAGCCTCATAGCCACATGTATCTCAGCCAATAATTTTGTTATTGATGCTATTTTGCTATAGACACATAAAGTGTAAATGTAAAAAATACAACTGAGGGGCTCAAACCCCCTTAAGATGCTGAATTAGTCCATTAATGAAGGTCTTTTTCATCATTTCTTTTAAATTTATTTGTCAACTAAAACAACCAAATATTGGATAATTAGAGCTTCACAAATACTAGTTTTTCTAAACTGCTCAACTAAAGTCATTTAAAAGAGAATAAATGTAATTCTGCTCATGGCAGTAACATATTCTGAAGAAACTATGACTGCACACTAGGCTGCGATCATTCATCACGATACAGTGAATTTAACTGTTGTGTGGTTTTCCTCTCTTCAGAATAATAAGAGACTGAAGTGACTTTGCAGTGTGCCGTTGCAGACGCACTTTACGCAGTCCTAAATTTCCAGCCTGGAAAAAAATCGCCATGTAACAGGAAATGGCATCAAACTGGGAGCTTTGCCAGTTTTGTGAAGCTGATTCATCTGATAAAAACAACCTGACTGCAGTTCCTCCCTGAACCCACCAGAGGGCAGACTGATGCAGTTGCTGTCTCGGCCCAGCTTCAGCAGTCTGCTCTTCTTGAAGTGGCCCTTTCTCTTCTTAACGCTGGGTTTCTCCTGGTACACCTGGTGGATGATGATGTTCAGCTCTCGCTCCACAATGTCGATCTCCCTCTCCGCCAGCTCCTGCTCTCTCCTCCGCAGCTGCTCCTCCTGCTCCCTCTGCTCCTCGGCTGCACGAGCCAACGCCTCCTCCCAAGATCTCAGCTCCTGGGCAGAGGGGAGATTATGAGGTGAGGAGAGGAGAGGAAGAGGAGAGGAAGGAAAGGAGAGGAGAG